TTCTATTCTATTCTATTCTATTCTATTCTATTCTATTCTATTCTATTCTATTCTATTCTCTATTCTATTCTATTCTATTCTATTCTCTATTCTATTCTCTATTCTATTCTATTCTGTTCTATTCTATTCTATTCCATTCTATTCTATTCGACAGAAAAACAGGGAGTAGCGTGTTTTACCTTATTATCTGTTTTATTTTTACAATAATAATCACTTCTTACCCATTAATTAAGATGCCCGTCACGTTTAATCCAATTGACTAAATTTCAGTAGTCAGGCTGCGCCCGCAGGTTACAAACAGAAACCACGGGCTTGGCGTTCAAATTTGGCGCACGTCTTGCCTTTTTTTTTTTTTTAAAGGCACTGCAATAAATATTGGCCCAGAGGCAAACAAACGAGGGATTTCCACTTCGTTTTTATTCTTTCTTGATTCCAAAAAAAAGAAAAGAAAAAGAAAAAAAGAGTGGAAACATTCCCAGGGGCCCCCAGGCACGGCGCCCATTGTGCCCCTGTGGATCAGTCATTGTAGCCATGGAGAATGGATTTCGGCACAAGCGCCAAAGCCTTCGCCTTCTTCCTGAAAAGACCGGCGCTGCCGCTTTTGCCAAAAGGTGAACATCCCCTCGTGGATGCCAAAGCCCTGGCAAGGAGAACACAGCCTGGCAGCTGCCCCCTTTCTTTCGGGCGTTTCAATCCATCCTTGTTTTCTCCTGCGAAATAGCCAAGGGTAAATCCTCCCCGCTGCTACGATCCGAGGCCGGCTTCCGTTTTTTTCAGGGAGTTTTTTTTTGTTTAAGAGAAAGGTTTGAGGGAGGGGCTTTAATGGCCTGCTTCTTTGAGAAAGCCCCTCGCTCTGCCCGCTGGCTGTGCCCTGCATCCCACCCCACACGCTCTACCTGTCGACCCCACCCTGGGGGATGCTACTTCCGTTCGGAAATCAAGAGCTCTGTGAAACGGGAGGCCGAAATGCAAGAATGGACTTCTGCGGGTTGGGGAAGGGGGCAGGAATTAGACACGATCGCATCTTCGGAAGACGTGGGCTCATCTAGACCACCCCAGGCACCGATCAGCCTGCTTGTCCGTCTATCCCTTCGCTTCTCGGTCACCTCTTTCCTGTCTATTTCTCTCTCTCTCTGATTGACTGATTGATCCATCCATCCATCCATCTTCTATCTTCATTTCCATCTGTCTGTCTGTCTGTCTATCTATCTATCTATCTATCTATCTATCTATCTATCTATCTATCTATCTATCATCTATCTATCTAATCTCTATATCTATCTATCTATCTATCTATCTATCTATCTATCTATCTATCTATCTATCTATCTATC